TTGAAATTAACTTAGAAGTCTTTGTCCTCTAAGAAACTGTAGTGAAAGACGAACTCCTCCCTCTTTCTCTGACTCATAGACTTGAAATCGTAGTAGATATAAGTCCCCGATTCATACTCATCAGTTATTTGTTTGGGCTCCTCGTGGCGCTGGAACCACATCAGGTACTTTGTGTGGAACCTCCAGGACATACGTTTCAGGGCCTTGGCCGCCAGATATTGGGCCTTGGTGCCTTCAAAGTAGTAGAAGAGGAAAAAGAGGGTTTGCGCGTCCAACTTCATAAAATACTCCTCTGAGTCACTGCCTTTGTACGGTTCCGACGGATAGTAACTGGGAGTGTTTGTTGGCTGCTTGTACACGAGCATGCGTGATTTCTCCGTGTCGCAGGGGTGCGGCAGTCGTCTGTAGGCACTCTCCAAAGCCTGCATTTGACGGATTAGCTGTAAAATAAAGATTTCCCTTTATGATATGGTACAAAAGAGGGATGCATTCAACAGGAAAGTTACCAAGAGCAGACTTGACAGCCCCTATACTCGTCAGTTGGAGGCTGAGGTGGAATGGAAGATCTTTAACTAGAATACAGGGATGCTCCGACTATCGCCTAGAGGCTTACGCTTAATGACTCTCAGAAGAACAACAGAAAAGGTGGTTACGGGGGAAACGGAGACGCATCTAGCGCGTAACAGTTGTATCTGTTTCGACGCCGCATAGTTCACGAAGTTCTAGAGATCAGGCCCTGGTAAGAATAATGCAGCCTGTGGTACCTGCGCTGGGTAGTTTGTAAACGGACTGAACAACGAGGCTTTTACTAAACATATCCATAATACAAAAATGTCCGAGATAAAAAAGGACTAAAACCAGAGGCAAGCACTCTGTCCCACTTAACATCATAGCGTTCATGTTATTTATTGGCACCGGATCAAAATAATTAAGACTGGCAACTGAAAAAAAAACGCAGTTCAGTTTGCTAAGTTAAAAATAAAAATTAGGTCGAAAGCTAACAGAAATGGATAGTAGGGGGGTTAAATGATGACAAAACAGAAGCTTCCTTTGGATGCTAATCACTGGGGTATTGGGTTACTGTAGCACGACACTGAACACTGCCGGTGGCATAACTTACCCGTGAACCCGAACGGCTATATTTTGAAAAACACTGACAAAAAGCTAGTATTGGTATCTTTAGCATTTACTATGCAAAAAACTTTAACACCTGTGACATAAACACAGGTCTGAAGTACACACACACACACAGAGAGAGAGAGATAAAGTTCCACCAGAAAACTACGTAATGATATGACCGACATTCAGCTGTGCTACACTGGTGACTCTATGCATGAATAACTTAGGACGATGTCAGTATAGTCAAAAAATAGTCGACTGTAACTAAATAACTACCGTAGAAGGCGTTGCGATTACCGGAATCATAATTTTACTTGTCTGAGCTTTCGGGCTCCTTCTAGAGTCCT